CGGGGCATAGAGGACCTACAATAATGTACAGTATTTGAAAAATAATGTGTTTTTTTAACATTAAAGCATGTCAACGTATTCTGTTACACCAAATACACAAAATAATGATCTTTAAAAAAGCATCATATGACCCCTTTAAAATCACCTACAGATTAGTGTCCAGATCTTCACCAAACGGCCTACCTCAGAGGAGAAGACGGGCCAGTTAAACCCAGATGACGTGATCACGTATTTGCAGAAGCACAGTCAAGCCCTGCTGCTCTACCTGGAGCACCTTGTTCTTGAGAAGAGATTGCAGGTAAATCATCACTGTGCCAAAGCATTTTGAATTCTTTAGTCCAGTGCTGTACCTATGCTAAAGCTGTGTCTCTGTTGTTACAGAACGAGAAGTATCACACACATCTGGCTGTGCTGTATGCAGACAGAGTGCTGGGTCTGATCTCACGACCATCAGCCACTGATGACCAGCTGTCTGCTGCCCGCCAGAAACTACAACGGTTACTGAAAGAGTCTAATCTGTACAGGGTCCAGTTACTATTAGGTAGGTATCCAATACCTGTGCCTCTTCTCCAATAGACATATTAGGTTTTTATTTTAATGTCAGACACACTGACCCTTTGTTTGCAGTATAATTAAGTGTCTCCTTAGGAAAAGGGCATCAAGAGCAGAGTTGAGCAGATCTCTAGTAGTTTTTGTTGAGTTATGGCTCATTGCATTTGTTGATTGTTCATACAGTAATAATGTCTTACTGTTCAGGTGTTGTAGTAACGTTTAAAGCTAAAAGCTACACTATGTAACCTCTGGCCATCTAGAGCAGGGTTTCTCAAATGGGTGTTCATGAGGGGATGAAAACCTGCTAAATTGAATGTTATACTAAAATAAGTCTATGTGCAGTGAATTTAACGTGCATTTTGGGAACACAATGTCCACTAGATTCACACTAAATGGTTTTCCCCTTTGTAAAAATCACATTCTGGGGGGCACCAAATAAAGGGGCAGGGGCCTGAGGCTCTTTAAAGCATTTCTCTAGATTTCACTAGTATTTTCCATAAAAACAACACATGAAAGTTAAGACAAATATTTTACTATTGTAATATTGCACTTTAAAGTAAAAATGCGCTTTTTTTTTTGTTGTTGTTGCTCTTTTTTACAGTACAATAGTGTTACTAAGGCAGAAATGAACTTCGTCTTGGCAGAAATTAATTTATTATTAGAACTATAATTATAATAATTAAAATAAAAATAGAATATTCTATTTCAGTGTTATTTTGGTCTTGTTTAAGTTGTAGCCATAGGAGATTTTATGAGATAACAGTATTCATCATATTCCATTCAGTTCAAATTCCAATTGCAATGTACACTCACCGGCCACACCTGTTGAACTGCTCGTTAATGCAAATATCTAATCGGCTGATCACATGGCAGCAACTGTATTTAGGCATGTAGGCATGCTCAAGACATTCTGCTGAAGTTCACCTGAGCATCGGAATGGGGAAGAAAGCTTTTGAACGTAATATGGTTGTGCCAGACGGGCTGGTCTGAGTATTTCAGAAAGATCTACTGGGATTTTCATGCGCAACCATCTCAAGGGTTTACGGAGATTCTGAAGGCACAAGGTCACCCAACCCGGTACTAGCAAGTAAGGTTGTGACGGTGAGGAAATTTT